ACGCGTTTCATTCTAGATGTGGCGTGGTGCCACTATAACATCTTGTCTTTACGGCACTTTTACGTGTCACCTAGTACGTAGAGCTTACGTAGAGCTCATCTCAAAGTGTCTTGTGATATGATGAAGAGTTGTCAGTTGCCCTTGGTATTGCTTGCGAGCGTTTGCCAAGAAGTTGGAAACATCAACACAGCCTCTCATGCCCAAATCGCCGTCGACTAATCTCGGTCCACTTCTTATGGCAGGTAGATGTTCGGACGGGGGAATAGAGTTACATCCTAGATTACTAGCCTATACGATCAACAAAGAAACTGTCCCCGCTTTGATCGGGCGGCATTCCATTCTTGACCCTCCTCGAGCTCGCTAAAATCGCTAAAATCCCTGGAAATGCAAGGCTAACAACCCGGGGCGTCAATGTGGAGTAGCATGTCTGTGTATATAAGGGGGTATAACACACAAAATACTGTGGCGTGGCCACGCCCATTTTTCGTGTGACACCAGACTGTCACACGAAAAAATACCAAAAAACGGGCGTGGCCACGCCACAGTGTTTTATGTGTTATACCCCCTTATATCCCTTGCGACACACCCCCTAGCTCTAACAGACTCGTATAGCTAGAGCTATGCAAGCTTCAGATCCTCAATAATACACGGTCATGTGTAATAGGCATCTTACACCGCTACGGCTCAACTATCTTCATATCTAAGACGAATAGCAGCGTTATGTAAGGTTTTATAACATTTAGGGTCTAAATGTAGCCTATAATAGGGTTTAAACTTAGCGTATAAGGTTAGGGTCGTAGATAAAAGCAATTTTAGGTAATCCGGAAGTTCCAGGGCTTAGCGTGCCCTCCTAGGCTCATAACTGTCACACGAACGCCACAGTATTTTGTGTGTATATAAGGGGGTATAACACACAAAATACTGTGGCGTGGCCACGCCCATTTTTCGTGTGACACCAGACTGTCACACGAAAAAATACCAAAAAACGGGCGTGGCCACGCCACAGTGTTTTATGTGTTATACCCCCTTATATCCCTTGCGACACACCCCCTAGCTCTAACAGACTCGTATAGCTAGAGCTATGCAAGCTTCAGATCCTCAATAATACACGGTCATGTGTAATAGGCATCTTACACCGCTACGGCTCAACTATCTTCATATCTAAGACGAATAGCAGCGTTATGTAAGGTTTTATAACATTTAGGGTCTAAATGTAGCCTATAATAGGGTTTAAACTTAGCGTATAAGGTTAGGGTCGTAGATAAAAGCAATTTTAGGTAATCCGGAAGTTCCAGGGCTTAGCGTGCCCTCCTAGGCTCATAACTGTCACACGAAAAAATACCAAAAAACGGGCGTGGCCACGCCACAGTATTTTATGTGTTATACCCTCTTATATCCCTTGCGACATCTGGTGCTACCCCACGTCCATAATTATGCGCTCCACCGTTAGGTTGATGTTGGTGGTATAAAGTTAACTACACTTTTCGAAATTAGCCAGATATTATTCTTGGGGGCCGTCAGGCGCAACGGTCAGGTCAAGCTCAGCCTCAGGATGATCCTTGTCGTGTCCTCACACTCGCATCGACTCGTGAGCTGTTTGATGTCTTATTCTGCACTTTTCCAATAAGAAAGATAGTCATTAACTACATCTTACTTGTCATGGCCAAGCCATATGAAGGCTTTTGCTTCTGAGCGTTGTTTGAAGCATTCACAGGATGTCTACGAATCGTACACTGTCAAGCCGACACTCTGTACCAACGAAGAGAGGAAGTACCAACGAATTGCTGTGCAACCAGAGCGCGTTCGCTTTTGCGGCATTCTGACTTCACTGACACTTACACTGCGGGATTTCCGCCTCTTTCTTTTGGCATGGCTAGACTCGAGATTCTATGGAAAAGCACAAGTCGCGTATGGTTATCTCTGTGTTTCGTTTAGTCTGCAGCCAAGTCCACTACTGTGGTACGACAGGCAGGCCCTCTTCATCCAAAGACCCTTTCTCCGTACAAGGCCCCGCATGATCTCATCCTGACTCTTATCCCTCACTAATAACTATAACTTGCTTTCTAGAGAGTGATAATTGGGTGAATTCGGGGGTAATGTTGCGCCTTGCCAGTCGATTCTTGACGTCATGCCATACATACTAAACCGAGTCAACCCTTGCTCCCAATAGCACTACGCATGACAGTATGATTCCCATGCCCTAGTTCACACCCCCGATGCCCCATGGCTCATAAAAGGGATCGGCATTCAAAAAGATTAGCGAAAGAAGACCATAGGTTCCCTGTTCATTTCACGGTCAGCTCTCGTATCACGCAAAGTCCGTGAAAAAGAGGAGGTATATAAGCGCCCTGGTTGCAGTGCAAAAACGATTTTGAACTTGTAATTAACGCCTTTGAATTATGAAAACCTTCTTTTTTTAAGATGAATATCTTGACTATCCTCGCTCTGCTCTTTGGGCTGGCTGCAGCTGACTTGGCTCATACGCCTGTTGTTCTTGAGTCGCAGATACACCAGCCTGGTTCTGATGTCAATAATGCCAATGCCGAGCCTTATGAATTAGCTTCAGAACGCGATAAGTTAGAGGGCTCTTTGGAGATAAGAAATGACATAATGCTAGAAAAGAGACGTGGAGCTTTCGAAACGCAAACTAGGGCCCCATGGTGCCTAAGGTCTATGTCTCACCGACTCCATGGAGCTGTATGTGAAGGATTTCCCCCAAGTCAAAACTCGGAATACTATACAAAGAGTTCGACGGCCGCGCAAAGAATTTTCACAGCATATTTCCCAAGGAACAAGCTGGCGATTATGTTCACAGCACTCAAGTTGCCGAAATCATTGGTAGCAAGACGTATGGTGTCGCAAAAATGGCAACGCTTTTGTCCGTCAAAACAATAGGACCAACAGGCGCAAATCATTCCGAGATAATCAATGCACTGGCCTGAACTGTAGAACACATGGCCAAAAATAACCGGCTAAAATCGTCCGTTATCAATCTATTCTTCGGGGCAAATAGGCCTAATGAGAGTGATGCTATAAACGATTATATAGAGGTACTTGTCAACCGGTACGATATTCAGGTAGTTACCGCTGCCCGTAATGAGGGCGAGGATGCTAGTACAAAGATCTCAGGATCTGCCATGTGAGCTATCAACGTCGGCTTTGTCGATAAACAACGGGGGCTTGCGCCCCGTTCAAATTGGGACCCGGCAGTAACTATTTTGGCTCCTGGGGTTGACGTGGAAATTACCGGCTCAGGGAGCGATACTAACGCTGTATTAGAGAGTGGTTCCTCCCTCGCCGCAGCTTATATCACCCGACTTGCCTTGAACGCGTATCATCGGGGGTGCTTCGAATTCCAGGCTTGGAGGACTAATAGCGAATTAAGTCGGCTGCCTGAGAAATAGTGTTTCGAACAGCCGGTTGTTTTGGTCGTTGAAATATGTCGCACCTACTTTTCGCCATTTCTTCCATCGGTGACCTTCAATCTAGAGCAAAACATGGGTCAGTCGGTATGTACTGCCAAAGGTGAAGAGAACACGACCGACATACCGCGAAGAGATGTGGTCCAAAGACATTGGACGACTCTGTCCTAAATTACTAACGTACTCTGTCGAGAGCCGAGTTAGGATAGGGGTTTTAAATAGAATGAACCGAAAAGCTGCAGCGGCCGTGGAAAATGTGCAAATCCGCCCTGCGCTTCAAAATCTCCATCAGACTGTCTAGGTTGCAGATGTATAGCGAGTTACCGCCTAGTGTAACCTGCATGAAAACGTCACAAATCTTAGAATGTGAGGTGCATCTCTCATCGACCTCCCAGCCTCGCCAATTGTACCTGATGAAGCTATTGTTGCTGGTCCATGTTGACTGAAGAAATCACCTTCCTACCACCGAACATCCAGAACGGGTTCCCATGGCTGACAGGTAGGAGGCGCAAGGGTACATTGACTTTCTTTGCCAGGCAGTAATGCTGGAAGAGACAGTACCACGAGTACACAATTCAGCCAGCGACAAGTGACCGCACCTGTAGGAGTGCTATCAAGACGGGCCATGTTTAAAAAGGTGCTCGCGATTGATGATCTAAGGCCCAATACAAAGATGGGCGCAAAAGACGATGCTGCGCTCAAAGAACACCTGGGAAATAGGATGAAGGGAGAAGGCGAAGAACGGGCGGCATACGCACCAGGAACTCATGTTGGTTCCATATGTTTGTAGGATAGGTTAGTTGATACTCGTTCCTTGCCTTATCAAGCTACGCCTAATGTGCCACCGTATACGCCGACCAACGCTGCAAGAACTTACTCGTTGGATGTTGATTGTGTCGCTCGTGTGATACGACTCTCTTGGGACGAGCATTCCGCACTCCCTGATTGCAACCCCAAAACAGCTCGTGCCGCTTAGCTGAACTGAGGGTTGGACAACTGTCGGGGAGCCCAACGAGAGCGGCCCTGTTCAATCAATATTCTCGCGATTTCCTCAAGAACGAACAATGCATTTGAATTGTATGTCTCCGATGCAGACAAAGTACGTTGCCATGGTGAGGACTAACACAGGCCACCATAGGTATTTCTGGTTCGAGACATGATGTCCTAGTCTCTCAAAGAATAGTAAGAAGGACAGTTTAATAGTTAAAGGAAGTGTACAGGACAATGAGCACGATTAGATTAGCCGGCTGGTGTAGGAATGCTCTGTGCGTTTAATAAAATTCTCTCTGGTGGAGGCCAGAGCAGGCCAGCAGTCACATGCAGCAAGCTATACAAATAGCTGACAATAACCTGCCGGCAGGTGGTAGAAAGCAGCGCGAGAACGCACGCAAACATCATGAGCGCATCATCCCAGTATAGTCGACGAGGCGCCTTGAAGCGAGCGTAGAGGCGGACGGCTAGGACCAGCCCTATAATGGGAGCGTTGTTTTCCTTCCTCTAAGACTATTTCCAGATAGTTGACCGTCATGGCAACACCGAAGTGAATTCAATAGTCTGTCGGCTGCATGGGACCCCCAATCAAAATTGGTTGTGCTTCGTCGAATGATGTCCCGCCTCTTCGTTCCTTCCATAGTGCACTTGAAATGTTGTGTTTACTTTGATCTCGCCGTTTTTACCATTCGTTGAAGCTCCTTCGGAAGCCACAGGCGCACCCAAATCATTGACCAAGTTATCCTCCGAGGAGTTGTCCTTGTTTCGCGTGCCTCCCATGACATCCGTCGTGTTGCGCCCGCGATCTGTTCTCCAGGACCGGTGGTGGCCACCCGACGACAGTTCGTAATGTCCTCGATTTGATTTCGTCCCGACAGACGAGGCGGGGCCTATAAACAGTGTACGAAGAGCTGTTTGCCGCAAGTCAGCAAGGACATGCCCGTAACAGATGAACCAAGTCACCCACGAGGAAGGCAAGAAGCAATAATAGCTACCGCAGTCTCAATCATAGAGACAGTGCAAGTAAGCATGGTCTCCTTTCGCCTTGAATAGTAGGCTCGAACAACTTCATTCTAGTCAGTAGAGGTGCGGTATCAGCAAGCAACAACGCAACTGACTGCTCGCAATGACTACAAAAAAGCCCAGTGCAAAGATGGCAATGACGCCAAGCTTCAGCTTCAGCTTCATCTGTAGCTTAAGGACCATTGAGATGGGTAAGCTAATAACTGTTTGCAGTCAGTCCGGATGAGTCTCCGCAGAACCAAGAGTTGCAATGGGGGGGGCTTCGTACTAATCACGTCAGTGACAATATTGACTGCAAATTGACTAGGTTAGCGCAGTCTGAGCGATGTGTGGTCCGCTTCACTTACAAAGAACTGTTAACCAATAATTAATGTCTTCCTGGCGAGGATCGCATTTATCTACATGTCGTTAGCTTTCTAAGCAAGCGGGTTGTGGCTTCTTGCGTACAGTTTGGATCCTTGGACCATCTCTTGTCGTGAGGGTAACATTGGAAAATGATGTTCAAGAAAATCGTGCTCCAAAAAGCAACCAAAAGAGCCAAAACAATGTTGTATATTATCTGAAGTTTTGTTCCTGGCGCTGCGAGCTTCTTGTAAAACAATACCATGGCGATTTTGACTGCCCATAATGATGTGACATATAGAATCGATCCAGGGACAACCATCTTTGTTTCTCATCAGCGAATGTGGCCCATGGTGTCGTGCCGCGATATCAATCACCTTCATTATTTGGATGAATTCTTCTCGGCTCGCCTTGGGAATTTCAGCCATACCCAGATTCCACATATACTGTTGAATTATCAGGTCCCCGATCAGACAGCATGCTGCCAAAGTAATGAGTCCATCGTCAGTGCCCAGCAACCTGAGTCTCTGGTAGCGAGTAGACAGTCGAGCGACTAGGAACAGGACGGCCGCAACGGTACAGATGTACCACGATATCTGTTTCTCAATGTTAGTCTTGCAACAAGTGCCGCTTTCCCTTTAGAATAAAACATACCACTTGGCCGATGCCCTCCTTTGCCATTGTGTTTTATAAGGTGCTTGGTCTCGTGCGATGGATCGCCCGCCCAAGTGACTAAATATCGGGAAGTCTTGGCTTTATTATTTGTTCCACGGCCCACAAACACGCACAACTTCCGACGTCTGATACTTCTCAATCATCATCTTGCGTAAGCATATAATTGATGAACAGGGATTCTTGCTGCGCCTGGTGCGAGGTGTTTCGGGACTGGATGACTGATCAAGCTACTCCGTCCACTTCTGCTTCATAGAAGCACGTCGAATAATGTGAGGCGTATATACAGAACCCGTCAGTTGACTACGATAACCAGTTTGAACATTTGTTGATAGCCCAATGGCCACAGGGGCATCGTATGTATCATCGTTGGTTAGCCAGGTGTGACATAGCAAGGGGGGTTAAAGCCAATAAGACATCACTATCGCAGAGAGCATGTGGGGGTTAAGAACACCTAGTCACGAGGTAAAATCTCTTATCAAGAAAGGTTACTATTACAAGAGCCACTACTCCTCTATCATTTGACCTATATTATGGTTCACAGCCACTCACATAAAGAAAAAGGGCTCCTGTTAACAGAACAGTCCCTGTAAATAACTCCCACTAACTTCCTTGTCAGGTCACTCATGGCTAAACTTACAGGGGATGTATTGTACACCAAGTACAAGGCTAGCAAGGGAATTTGAGCTGGGCCAGAGTCATGATCCATGCAAGCTGTATCCTCTGACAAGTTCAGGTGGAAACAATTCCCCATAGAATATGCCAAGGCTGCAAGGGGATTAGGAGCCGGTCAAATTTTTTACTGTCAAGTCCACCCAGCTGAAAAGAAACGCATGCAAAAGGGGGGAAGATACGGATGTTCTGGAAATCGCAGGTTCTACATACGGATTAGGTTGTCCCTTTCCACAAAACGGCCAGAACTAGCGGCCCGTCGCCGATATTAATCGCGTGTACAAGCGGATCCTCACGTCAACTATTGCAAGTGCTTGGTGGCTAGCTGTGAATACCTGCGAATCATCTATGTACAATGGGCACTCCCTGCCTTGGTGGAGCTTAATACACAGCTGTATCCTAACTCGATGTCAACCAAATGGTGGATTGGGTGGATATATACGGAGCAGACTACCTTTTTTGATGTGGAAGTTGATCTCGGCAAACTCAACAAGGATTTCGGCAATGAATCAGGACCAACAAACTTGGGACTACGTACGGGTGGGGATTTCGGACCAGGAAATGCAGATATCTCGCAACTTCTGTCACCTATTCGCCCATTCGCACTTTCGTATCATTTCGTACGGACAAGATCGTCTAAGCAACTAACAAAGACGGGAGTGCAATATGGAATGCACCATGGCTCTAAGCGTGATGGCAACTATATTGGCCTTGTTTACCCCAGGGTTGGCAAATGGTTCTTCATGCAACCTGTCTTCACCCACTGCCTTCATCTCTCAGGGCGCTATCAGGGGATTTCGCGATGCTTACTGCAATGCGGTGTATCTGGGGATCCCGTTTGCTGCCACCACTGGCGGCAAGAATCGGTAGGCGTGCTCGCTGGGAGGCTTCTATGCTATTGACGCCTCCTCCATGTCAATATTAACGCTGATTCCACGGCATTAGGTGGCGGCCACCACAAGATGCTCCCAAGTCGAAGTCCATATTCAAAGCAACGTCCTATGGACCAACATGTCCTCAGGCAATTCCTAACCATCACTTTAGTCGACAGAGTGAGAACTGTTTAAATCTCAACATCTGGGCACCGCCCAAGGGCAACAACTTGCCTGTATTTGTCTACATGTACGGCGGCGCCATGGTTACTGGTTCCAACAGCAACCCACAGTTGCAGGGCACCAACTTTGCTCGCAAGGATGTCATTTACGTCAACTTCAACACCCGTGAAAGTATATTCGCTTCGCCACACTCCGCGGAGCTGCGAAACACCAATCCGGACGAGTCACAGAACTTCGGCGTCCTGGATGTTGACAAGGCAATGGACTGGGTTCGAAATAACATTCAAGGTATTCACATTGGCCAATCCTTGACAATACGAGCACGGTTCTTTAACAATTCAAACTAGCATTCGGAGGCAATCCTGATCACATCGTCTTTGGCGGTCATTCTTCCGGTTCGGTGCAGGTCGATCACTACCTGTGGAACCATCTAGACACCTGGCTCAAGGGAGCAGTCCAGATGAGTGCCAATGCCATGTCGGGCCCTGCTTATGCCCCCATGAACGAGGCTCTTGACGTGGTTGCAGCCGAGGTTGGCTGCCCTTCCAGCACATCTGGCAAAAACCAACTAGACTGTCTCCGAACCGTAGACGCGTATGCCTTCCAGACCGCACGGTTCAACTCAACATTCAACACATGGTTCACCCCCATCGTCGACGACATTACTCGTTACTCGGATTACTCGGCTCGGTTCAAAGCCGGCAAGTATGCCACACATGTGCCCCTACTTACCGGCAACGCAGATGGCGAGGGTACAATTTTCAGTCTCGTATACGCAGCCGAGAACAGCGATTTCCGATCATGGATCAAGACGTTTGACGCGGACAGCTCTCACATTCCAGAATGCTCTCTTGTCCGCGCGTATAACCCTTCCGACTTTGCCAGCGAACCCCTTCGTAGTGGTGCCCAGTATGGTGATGCTCGCTTCAACTGCGCCGTTGACTACCTCCTAGACATGCGAAGCGCTGCCCAACATACCTGGGTCTATCGCTTCTTTGGCGCCTACGACAACGTAGTTGGGCCACCCAACACGGCTCCCACTCACGGCACCGAGGTCCCCTTCTTCCACGGCGGAAATGAATGCTTCCAGTCCCTAACCAATGTCACAAAGGAGCAGCAGGCACTGGCGGACTCTATCCACGACTGGTTTGTTGCGTGGGTCAAGAACCCAGCGGCTGGTCCGGGCTGGGACAGGGCCTCACCCGAATCTCAAAATATGGTAAAAATTGGGGTTCCAGGAGATGAGTTGTCACTGGTCAAGGAGTTGACCGGGACATACAACTCTCGATGCAAGTCGGTATGTATAGACGGTTATTTTTTATTTTTGTCATGTGGCTTACAAGGCGCTAGGTATATGCTCCTGCATTTCCAAAGTATCCTGTTGTCCAGTCAATTAAGTCTGTGCTTGAGAGACTATTGTAAGACGCTACATACTCTAGCATCGCGGTGAAGCATAGAGTATCCAGCCGCTGCACGTCGGCTGTCGTGAGACATGCTTCTCCAAAGTTGGCCTAGCCAGGAACTTGGTAGTTTGCTTGTTGGTCGAGACAAGCATTCTCTCGATAGTGTGCCATGACGACTAGATGTTGGAGCTAGGATAGCGCATAGTGCTGTACCTAGCACGCAATACTGCGAGGGCGATGCTGCGGCCAAAGGGAGACATGATCCCAACGCGGATGCTATTAGGGTTAATGCTGCTAGCCGTCTATTATACACGCTCTATTAGCCTCTGGCTAAGATACAATATACACGCCTCTATTGGACCGTAGAACGCCAGAAGAGAGTGCAACTCTATTTCCCTTTGTATCGCCAGTACCACAGAGACTGGCCCTGTATATATACACGCCAATATGCGATGCTAAATAATTTCGAGATGATGCTAAAAGTACAATGCGTAATGATGAATGCGAAGAGGCAAGGACGCCGGGGATTTAAGAAATCTATGCAAGAGCTTGTTCATTCGTTGGTGGAGGCGCGGGCATCTAGTTGTTGGAAAGTCAGAAACATGGGCCGTTCAACGTGTTGGAAGAGTATCAGCCTACCTCCAATTTCGTGCTGCCTGCCATCATCTTCTGAAACCCGATGCCTACGCCCTCGATGACCGCAAGCAGCACAGCGCAACCGATGGCGCCGTTTCTTGCAGCTTTGAAGCCGCCTCTGATTGCTAGAGAGCCGCCAGTCATAAATCCCGCACCGATGGCATTCCAAGGGTCCTCCTTCCTTCGTACACCTTTGATGGCGCAATCGAACGTGCTGAAAAGACCGCCCCAGACACCGAAGTTGCCTCCGAGTACTGGTGCGCGCATCTTGACGGCTGTAATGGCACCGATGCCTCGCTCGCCGTAGGGGCTATTTCGGAACCCCTTGATACCGTGCCATAATGTGCCACCAATTGCCTTTGGAGAGAGTGAGTTGGGAGCGTCAAGAGAAGCGAATGCAGGGGTCGAGCAGCAATTTGATGCGACAGAGTCGAAGCTTGACTTACCCCCATAGCGAAAGCGCCTCCAAAATCGTTCAAAATCACATAGGGACATGGGTCCCTTCCATGATCAAGAGCCATTTTACCGTGTATGAGGAGAGGAGTGAGCAGAAGGAAAGCAGGCAGAAGTCCCTATCGAAGATCTTGAGGAGATGGTTCAGATGGTGACGTGGGTTTGCGATAAGATTTTTTTTGGTGGAGCCACGGAATTCTCTGAGGGCACCCGGGCCGAGTATCAAGTACGTGCTACCTACCCTAGACCCCTAGAGAACTTCCTAGGCAGTCGGTGGGGCTTGTGCTTTAGTACAAACCACATTCCTCCAATCAATTGATAGCAATAAACCCCTGGCCTCTTCCAGAGCACGGAGTAGCCGACTCGATTAAGAAACAAATTATGCATCCCTGAGTACGATTTGGTGGCGTTGATGGTTGCAGTCGAAAAAAAGCATCTCGACTACTGAAACTATGCGTGCAGTTACTCTAGGCTATCCAGCCTTGTGATGCCAAACGCTACGGCACTGCGTCTGTAATTACGTCGAGCTTCCACGGCGGTGTGTCGACGGGTACATCTATTCCGTCGACCGAAATATAATATCTGATTCACGCCGGCACGAGCAGTTATCTTTCTTCAACCGGCAGAAAGTCTGGAAATAATTTGTGCAGAATTGTCCGGGTCACCTTGGTTTACTACTTGCGGATAAATCTTCTTAAGCTCCCTAGCAACTACTAAGTTGTGCCCGTTTATAGGCTACATTTGACCGATAGATGAACTTTTTATTTTATCTGGGGAAATCACTGATTATTATACTTTTACGTAGGACTAACACTAAATTCTCGAATCCATTACATCGTCCATATCTTTTCTGATAACCTCCTCGAGCTGAGGTGATTTTTGACAAGGAGTCTTTTTAAGTCTTGGTTCTTCTCTTATCGAATTTAAAGGTTTGATGGATGCACATATTAAAGGTTTGATGGATGCACATGTTCTTTCAAGGAAAATGGTAAAGCCAGCTTAAAACTACAAAGCTTTTTATATAGTCTACTACAATTCAAAACTTAGCAAGGTATTCTATAGCACTTGACTGCTTCAAATGTACTACCAGAATCGTACAGCAATTGAAAAGCCTCCATCTGTCCCGGCCCTGTTTCACGGATTGGAACAGTGCCAGTAATACCGTGGCTCATATGAGGCTTTAGAAGCGGGCAGTTGTTGATTCGTTAGTGGCTCATGGCTGGAAGAAAAACGACGCCACCCTGCGACATTGTTTCGGGTTTTGAAGCCTCAAGTCCCCCAATTCGGTAAATGTCAAGCCTCAGACATTTTACCCTTAGCCGTCGTCTGACCAATCTCGCGCGAAACCTGCACGGAAATCGCGCGACCTTGGAACGGCCTCTGCCTCACTACTTTCCCGGTCTTCTGGTTGTCGTGCTTCGATGCCGAACGTATAAATACTATCAAACGTTTGCGACGTGAGATTTGACTAGGCAGCAAGAAAGCCAGTCTTGAAATAACAAGGATTACTCAAAAAAAACCTTACACAATGCGTACATATACAATGCCTTCCATTTACACTGAAGTCGAGATCAATTGTTCTCCAGAGCAAGTCAAAAAAAGTCTAAGCATACTTTGGTCGCAGAAGCGTCTAAAATGTACAAAGCTGACATTTTCCAGTTTCTTGACTTCTCATCCTATTCATCTTGGCCCACAACTTTCATCAAATTAAGCACCTATTGATTCAAACAACCCAATTGAGGCAGGGTCCAGGCTTAATGTTGAGCTACAGGGAATGTCCATAACGCCAGTCGTAATTACCAACTCCGCTGATTAATTCAAGTGAGCAGGCAAACTCTGGAATTTCAGGACTCTTCACCGGCGAGGACTTGTCTGGAATCCTGTCATTCCTAATGGCTCAGGAGTCTAGGTTTTGGTCATCAACCAAGAAGATTTTTGAGGGGTTTAATCAAGATCTGAAGAAGAGATGTGAGAGCGGGAACTAGAATATCCTTATGTTCGACATTGCTGCTACATTTTTGGATTGAACTGTCTATGTAACTTTATGAGATGAGTAGTCTTGTGTGAATAGAGAATGGCCATTTCGCGCTGAGTACAATAAGCAGTAATCTCTATCGAACCCCCAAAGAGGCACCATACAAGCATCCCAGCCTCCAGCCAGCCAACCTCCTTGAGTATGTCACAATACAAGGGCCAGTTGAAGCGCATTAGTGGAATGCCGGAGGGATTTTCCTTACAAACATTCCATAATTGGTAACAATGTTCTTTGTTGCACTGACAAAGCTCTAAGCCTGACCGAGCTCCGTCTGCCAAACTCCATCGCAGCGACTTGCACCTCCCGAATTATTGTCCAGGTCCAATAAACCCATGTCCAGGCACCTTCTTTCTATCTCCCTCCCCTAGCAGCCCTACCTCTAGGCTTATCAGGCACAACATTTAGTCCCCTCGTGCCTCTCAGTCCCATCTTCCCGACGACACTCTTCTGAATAGGTGGCGTCTCCGGAGTGCCCAGCCCATCGCGCGCAAATATATTCGCTTGCCTGACAAGCTCCGTTTTGTCCCACCTTAAGCCCTTCATATGGTTATTGTAATATCCCAACCACGCCTTGTATATCTGCGCCTTTTCATCCTCATCAATCGTATCCAGAATCTGCGCAACTTCATCCGCAGACGAGATATCTGCCTCGTGGGGTATGAAGGTGAAATTCTTTAGAGTCCACCTCGGGAAGAATGATTCTGCCTCACAAATGAGGAAAATACCACGTCCTTCAGCGTTTGCTCGTGCCGTGCGGCCAAGACGATGGATATAGCTCTCCTTTTCGGAGGGTATACCGATTTGGAATACAGTCGTCACGCCAGGGAAGTCCATGCCTCTGGCAATGACATCCGTAGCTGCCAAAATAGCGGATGGTGCTTCACGGTAGTCATTCGTGATCTTGGTTCGCTTGTTCTGCGTCATTCGGCTATGGAGTGTAGACACAGGTGGTAAACCGGGGATCATGGACAAAACATGTCCGTAGAACCCCGCCTGTGCAGCCGTAGGAGCGAAAACAATGGCTTTGAAGTTGTCGTGGTTGGCGGCTTCTTCCCTGATTGCGCCGACCATGCCTGCGGTGACAGATGCAAACGTAGGCACTGTGATGAGGACTTGAGGTACGTGTTCGTGCGTATTGGCTTCGCCTTCGGGAATTGTAGAGATGAATTTGTATCCCGGCGACAGAACAAGACCAGCAATCTTGTTGACGCGTTCGGCAATCGTGGCTGAGAACAACATGCTCTGTCTGTCGGCTTGTTTCTTGTCGGGCAACTTGCTGACGATTTCTCGAAGGGCAGGTAGAAAGCCCATATCGAGGAGTCTATCGGCCTCATCTAATACAAGCGTATCCAAGTCCCTAAAAGCCCATAGTATATTTTCATTGGACATGTGGTCAATGAGCCTACCAGGCGTTGCGATAAGAACGTCACAGCGATCCAGAATTTGCTTCTCCTCGCGGTCCTTGTTTGTGCCACCGATGGCGGTACGCACGCGATAGTCTGGCAATCTTTGGAGTAAAGACGTGGCTTCCTGCGCGATCTGCAATGCGAGCTCGCGAGTTGGCGAAATGACGAGGAGTGAGATGGCTGAACCGCCGGGTTGCTTCTTGGTGATCATGTTCTGGAGGGCGGGGAGCAAGAAGGCGATAGTTTTGCCTGTGCCGGTTTTGGCTTGGACGAGACAGTCGTGGCGATGCGGTGGCAAGAGTTCCCAGAGAGTGGCGGCCTGGACAGGCATCATGTGGTCAAATTTAAGGTCCTTGGTGATGGCTTCGGTGAGCGAGGGATGGAGGCGCTGCTTGTCAAGCTCAGAGAACCTCGGCGTATCGAGCGGAACGGCTTCTGTGAGCGGCGGCTTTGCATCGAATGGCAGAGGCGGCGTCTCATTGCCGTTGATGGGAGATGGGGTGTCGGTGGGAGTGTCATGATTTCTTTGCGCTGGGCTTCTTGCAGGTCCCTGAGAATGGCCGCGTCGACGTCCACGGCCATGGCCACGACCACGGGTCTGGCGTTGGCCTTTTTGTCTGTCGCTCATTGTGGCGAGCCGACAGTAACACTGCCTCTGTATGCCGCTCTGCCGATGGATTCTGTTCCTCTCCGTACGTGGACGATTGCAAAAGGTCAGGATGCTGGTGCTGGCTCGTGAGAGGTCTGTGATTCTGCCAAGGTCAAGGACCTCGAGTTTGCATCACTGTTTGGTGACCCACTTCATGACGTCGAGTTGTCGTGCTGGCACAGTCCACAAATCTGGCCAACAGACACGTACGCGCCGTGCAACACGGCCGATATATACATGGCCAACAGGCTAATTGGGTCTCAATTGGGCGAAAACAGTCCGCGCTTCCGATAAAAAGGTGTCCCGGAGTTCAACGGAGATCACCCGGTCACTCATCCACCTTAATTTTCCTTGAGTTCTAAGTAGGTCACGTGCAGCCACGCCTGTGCCGTAATACGCAGGCTACGGGATCGATCCATCCGTGTCATACGAGCGGGCGGTCATAATAGGCGTGCATTTACTACTCATGCCACGAGTTCGCTTAAGCACGAGCTGTTCCCTTACATGGCTAGTGCGCTGAAAAGTCGCGGTCATAAATCTATTGTGGTGTGAGTTCTCAGTAAAGCTCTCAGGGTTGGACCTTTGTGTTAATATACAACAAATCGCTACATGTAGATGAGGTAGCAACAACATCAAAGACGGAATAAGCTTAGTTTCCGATACGAGTAGTGACTTGAAGCCTCCTGGCGCCCGTGTTCCTAAGAAAGAGGGATGTGTAATAGCGCCATCGACCCGAGCTTTGAGATTATCGGACCATTTTTCAGTAGCCAGTAAATATCACTTGGCCCCCCCAGTAGGGTTGTAAACTACAAGCAAACAGCCTTCTATTTCAAGTTTACTCTAAGTTGCTAACCGTAACAGTCTCCTTCGAGCGAGACACTAACGAATAACGCCTACCCCGAAAGGGGAAGTAAAACATGGCTTGTGTTTGGTGCTTGGTGCGTAATGGTTCCAGCCATGGGCCTGCTTAATACTCTTGCTGTATTTATGCATGAATAGCAGAGAAGGAGTTGCCCGGGATCGGCGAATCAGCGATTGGCTGGACATTGAGCTTTTATGGCTTCTTCCTATACTTTGGTGGTGCACAAACTGCTAATGTCATTTGGCTTCAGCGTCCTTCAAGTCCAACCGCTGATGCAACTAGGTCCAATTCCTCGATTGCCGTCGTTTGGAGTATCTCCTCATGCCAAGCTTTGGGGGCACCGTTGCATCGACTATCCCCACGAGCGTATCAAAAGGTAGGGCGCTATGATATGCACCTTTACCCCAAGCTGGACTGCTGTGTGCCAATGCTAAAGTATACCAGAACATTATCAATTCCTCCCCTCTTTTGGTGTTCCCGGCGGCATCTCGTCATCTATGTTGTTCAACCCCAGTATCAGTGCCGTCGGTTAATAGTTCTCAGAGAAACGAGGATTGGCCACTGGCAATGCCTGCAATGCGCCGGAGGACTTGGAGGCGTCTTCTTCTCACTCATTATCCTCTATCTAGCACATCGCATCGGTTTTGGATGGGAAATGCGTTTTCTGGCCCTTAATTTGCTTCGCCATGGGAATCGTGTCCTGCTTTTTATTCTGAAAGCGCTCTACACCAAATATTAAAGCCGGTGCAGCTGTTGATTTTAGAGCGCTTCGTGACATAAATTTTGCCATCAACACTTGCAATTTGTCTTGTGGAGTTTGCCGTCTTTACCCCTTACACTTATATCGGCTCGTATGATATTCACCCCGGCATTGCGCCGCTCAGTGCGTACCTGCTAAATGTGTATCTCAATGCCGGTGCTATGCCGGGTAGGGTCCTCCCCGGGTATGTCGCGGATCAGTTCGGCACCTTGAATACCTACTACAGCATTCACTACTCTAGCATGAGACGTTGAATACAAGTGGCTGATCGTTTTCGGAGGCTTCCTTGATGCATGGGCCTTCGCCATGTTCGTGATAGCGCGTGTCTGCATAGCAGGTCGAATTTCACCTCTTGAAATGATTCAAGAGATTAAGTGTAATATGTTGTGACATCAAAAGGTGGCCGATTCGTTACTTTTAACAATACTGCGTCGAGGTAATACGGGTTTTACTAGTAATCTCTGATCTGAATTCTAATCTTCAGATTATAATAGCCGCCTTGTAAACTGAATATCACGGCTGCGTTTCCCCTGTCCTCCTTCACCGAGGCAAAAGTTTTATCCGTTTGAGGGAACGTAAAGTTACATTCCTTCGGCCTCGTAGCCGAGAATTATGCCAACTCTCGCTACCTAAGATATTACCGTAACTGGCGTAAGCAAATTACTCGCCAAGGAATTCTATGCCAAGCATGCACGCATTTGCATCACGGTCACTTTAAAAGAGAAAGCCGTTTTAGCAAGGGATTGAGTTAAAAAGCCGTACTCAATCTAGCGGTGAATTGGTTTTTCTGCAAGTCGACCTTACATATTAGACCACGATACCCTCTTTGGCGCAGCAATTCCTTTACAAATAGACCGAACGTCATGTGCTCTTCAACAATGCCAGCGTCATAAACTCTCTAGGGGTCTGTCACTAATCAAGGTTATCTGCTTTAATACGGCGTAAAGTACTCTTGGTCAATCCGGGCTTCCTCATTAAACTGATTTCCCAGGAATCAGCTTTTCGCAACAGCCACCATTCGTCTATAACCGAAACGTGTGACATTCTGATTAACTCAAGGTTGTAGCGACATTAGCACAAGATGTCTCTCGTGCATTTCTATTTCAGCGAAGCTTGTCAACCCTTGCGCCTGAGCCTCTTGATTTTGGTGACTTGGCCGGCAACTACGAGGAGCATCTTACAGCGATTTATCAACAATTCGTAGTGGTCGGATCGTCGGGTCGAATCTTCCATCAGTTGCCATGGCAGGGATGCGGTAGCCCGATTTCAGAGACTCCATCCAGTAATGGCGGCGGCATCGACGGAGATTTCGCAGGGATTGACCTCGACCTTTGTCCACTACCACTACACCACGCTCTGCAGCAGGGTCGCCCGCTCTGAGGACGCGGAGTAGATATCACTGTGGCCCGGTCTAAAGGTTCATACGGATGATACGTGTTCATTGGCACATGAGCCAAGTTGTGTTGTAATTCCCCGTCGCCATTGTCTGTAGAGTCCCACCGAGTCAAGAGTGCCCGGCGCCCGCAGTCTCTCTCGACGTGGTGTCGCTTATTTATTAACGCGATCCGTTACCCATCTCTGGCGAGTGCGATAATAGTAAAGCCCTAAAAGGCGACGTGGTCGTTAAACGTGCAAGCCCGCGATCCAAGGCCGGGCGCATGGTTAAGGTGGTGGTTGGCTGGCGCGTTCCAAATATCGACACCTCGGCCGACCATATCCAGGACTGGGCGGCGGGATCAGCAAATTCTGTGGGGTATACTCCGTACATGGCTATCCGTTGATGCCAACATTGAATGGCAATGACAGGCAGGGGCGGGATCCTTGCTGGTGTTGGTGGAACCCTCATCATGTCCATGCTCCGAAGGGGGGGGGGGGGGGAGGA